CGTTTTTTATAACGATATAAAAGAATACATATATCATGAGAAGAACGAGAAGAACGAAAAGAACGAATACAAGATCAAACAGAGATGAAAGAGGATAGAGGATAATACTGATATAGAGAATGTGTGTATACAGGCGACATCACTGTAACACCGGTACTGAAACAACGGCTACCGCATTGTCTTGGTTCATTCATTTGGTCAGTAAGCATCCACAAGTACAACAAAAAATAAAAGCAGAATTTATTGAGAATGATGCAAAACAGCATTTATCTTTGAATTGTCTCGATTCGCTGGTCTATTTGGATTGTGTTATTAAGGAAGTACTTCGCTTTTGCCCACCTGTCAGTGCAACATTTCGTACATTAACTATTGATGATCAATTACTAGACAGCAGGGCTCAACTTTTTGAAGATGATTTAATACTGATTCCATTGCATAATCTTGCGCATGATCCTCGATATTAGACGATCGATCCACAACTTTTCTATCCAGAAAAATTTTTGAGTGAAGATAAGAATCATCATCCATATGCATTCATTCCATTCGGTGGGGTGGTCATCGTCAATATATTGGTCAAGAGTTGGCTCGATTTGAACTTAAAGTTATTATAGCAAGAATGATGCAACAAGTCACATTTAGTGATGGTGGTCTTCAAGTCAATTCTGATAGACATTGTACAGCACTTACCATTTCTCCTAAACATGTTGGTGTAACTATTGAATTTGCTGGATGATAATCAAAACGCATTTTTAATTAAATAAAATTCTTTTACATTTTTAATTGTTTCTGAATTACGACAATAAAAAAAAATCATAAATGTAACCATTGAAGTAATGCGTGATATGATCATTACCGGTTCCGAGCGTAAAAATATACATTAGACAGTCGGTTTAACTGATCTAATCTGAAATAGGAGTAGAACATGGGTCTGAGAGTTGTAGGTTACAACAAAATCTGATTTCCTTCTTTTGAACTGTAGTACTCAAGCTACGACATTTAAAAATATCAATGATCCAAATCTGAATTGGGGCAGACTTTGATACTAGATTAAAAGCTGTCAAAGACTCAAGTTTCCATTATACTTTTTTTACGAGATAATGAATATAAAGAATCGAAATGACTTTGTTTATCGATCTCTTATTAGTAACACTCTATGTGATGTTCGCACTGCTTACAGTTTGATTATAGAAATCATAAACCGAAATGAATCAAAAAATTTCGCACTCGATTCGATTCGACTCAAACAATGAATGTTCAAAAGCATAGTCTTTTCAACCACAACAATAAGTTATAATATTAACCAAAGTCATAAGAATGAGTCAAGAAAGAAGACTTCAAGTTAGATTCATCGCTTGTTGTTCTCAATGGAACCGAAGAAAATCAAATCTTGAAGGTGGATGGGTAGAATTATCAATTAGGTGAATTGATAATGAAAAATTATGAATTATCTATAGAAAATCGACTGTGTTTGTGAGAATATTATTTTATTTTTTTGAATTTTTTAGTTTATTTTGGTAGAGTTTTTGTCGAAAAATAAATAGACAATGAAGAAAAAGATTAGTCTAGTAAGGAAAAATGAATAAAGAAATTATGGTATTGCAGAGAATTATACAAGAAAACAGATTATTGAATTATTTGAATTAAGGCTTTATTTAAAGAAAAATTGTTGAATTATTAAGTAAGAAATGTTTGGAGAATTGTAGAAAATGAGGAAAATTATTGAATTGTCTAAAGAAGATTAGTGAAGAATTAAAGAAAATGAAAAAATATTGAATTTTAGTTGAATTTGGCTTAGGAATTATATTGAAGAATTATTGGATTGAAAATTGAAGTAAAATTTGAGAAATGAACGAATTAGGATGTGAGTGAGTGTCGGTGTGGTGTGCGGTTGTTGTTGGAGAGAATACACACCCACATCCACCTTCGTTAATCTTTATCTATTGCTTCTTCTCCCATTTGGCTTATATTTTCTGTTAGTTGTAGATTTTCATGTTTTAAAGTCTGCTGCACAATCCACGTGTAGTTTGATATTTGAATAATTAACACCAATCACAGCAGCGAACGCAACTCTATATTTTGCCTATTATGCATTGGTTAAAGCAGATTACTTATACTTCATATTGCATATTCGCATCACAAATTGTAATAAACTCATGAATGAACTAGAGCATTGATTTGCTCGATTATTTCTCTACTATATGTTCGACCGCCCTGAGAAATGCTAGCAATCATCATATAAAAGACATCCTATTGTATTTTGATCGCAGACTTAGAATTCATTCACTTTACTAAATTTCAACCAGACCTAAAAAGAAACTTTTTTCTTGAATGGAAACTCGATGACACAATGCAGTTGATGAACTAGTGAGCAGCACTTCATCAGACTGAAGTATATTTAAGGATATATTCAAGTAACAGATGTGAGACTATATTACTCTATACGGATAACGAATGATTAACTCATAAAGGCAGTAGGAGACATCGTCGTCAAAAAAAAAGAATAAATTGGTTTCTATGGAATATATGAACATTCGATTGATATGCATTACTCTGAGAATTGTTTTTATTCTCATACATGAGCAGTTCCGGCAGCGGTTAGTTACTCAATGCTCTTCAAGTATTGTAGCTACTGTTTAAATGTTGAATAATATCTGCTACGATGTTCAAGTGTCACATCGATAGTTAAAATATATTCTACGATTCAAAAGATGAATGTGCGTGATTTTATAATTAAATTCAATGGAATGCGTGTTGAACATTTTTTTCTTTCTTGCAACTCATTCCTCTTGTATGTAAATAGAAGTTGAGTAAGAAAGAATAAAAATTACCGTCCTTTTTTTTCTGCATAGTATCCAATCAATAATATAAGGTTTTATTCCTCTTTTCTTTTGGTTGTGCAACTTCAGAAGCAACGAGAAAATGCATAACTACGTCTTTATACCCAACACGTGGTCTATTTTCAATGTATTTCACTAGAAAAGTATCGTTGTACACTTTTGTTTTGATTTACCTTCAGATAATAAACCGTTAATTTATTATTCATGTATTAAGAACCTAAATGTACAATCACTAGCGGTATTATTAACTGTATTAATAGCAATTAAATTCTAAACGAATATATATTCTGAACGAAAATATTGTATCAAGTATGTTTTTCAGTTTATATAGAACTCATTCCTTTGATTATTTAAAAACATCATTTTTAAAGCATTACTGTACAATCGCTTTACAGCACTATTTTCACATTTTGTGAACATTGAAAAGTTGTGCTGTATGGAGTAGGTAATGGTCCGATTTGATTCTATTGTACGTGTATGAAATACAATATAATCATGTAAAGATATTGTTGACAACAAAGTGTCGACATGATTTGAAATTGCTTTGTGTTAGAATCCAGTCGAATCTTAGTATTGTTTCTCAATCGGAAGCTAAATTAGAGAATCATGAGAACGTCATGAAATACATCAATACAGATTGTAGCTTAAAACATAAGAGTATCTAATCTGACGGCTATGGGCTTTTATTCTCCCTCGGACAAAAAAAACGCCCTTTTTCCATTTCATTTTTGCATCACTTAATAAGTTGTTTTATAAAAACAAAATATACCAGGAGATGCAGCGTGAAAAGAACTACAATGTGCAAAGTAAAGCTTATTTTAATTTTGTATTTTTTGTTTTCAAAAGAAGCAAAATTGTGTGCGACCAATTTTCGACGCTGCGAAAAAATCATTTTTTCTGATCTCATCTTATCTCATCTTTTTATCACCTAATGTGCTTTTGTAAAAAAATATAAAATGTACCACAAGATGCAGCGTGAAAAGCTCTATAATCTACAAAGTAAAGCTTATTTCAATTATGTACTTTTGTTTTCAAAAAAAGCAAAA